GTATGTTTATCCTATACTATATGTCTAATATCCACTTATGAGTGAATATATACCATGTGTGTCTTTATGCTTCTGGGATACTTCACTCAGAATGATCTTTTCCAGATCCCACCATTTGCCTGCAAATATCATGATTTCCTTGTTTTTAATAGCTGAGTAGTACTCCATTGTGTAAATGTACCACATTTTCTGTATCCATTCCTCAAATGAGCAACATCTAGATTGTTTCCATCTTCTGCCTATTATAAATAATGCTTCTGTGAACATGGTTGAGCCAATGTCCTTGTTGTATACTTGAGCATCTTTTGGATATATGCCCATGAGTGGTATTGCTGGATCTTGAGGTAGCACTGTTCCTAATGTTTGAGAAAGTGCCAGGTTGATTTCCAAAATGATTGTGTAAGTTTACATTCCCACCAGCATGGAGGAGGGTTCCCCTTTCTCCACATCCTTTCCAGCATGTGTTGTCACTTGAGTTTTTGATCTTAGCCATTCTGATGGGTATAAGGTGAAAACTCAGGGTCATTTTGATTTGCATTTCCCTGATAGCTAAGGACATTGAGCATTTCTTTACGTATTTCTCTGTCATTCTATATTCCTCTACAGAGAATTCTCTGTTTAGCTTTGTACCCCATTTTTTTAATAGGATTACTTGATTTGTTGTTGTTTAACTTCTTGAGTTCTTTATATATTCTGGATATTAGCCCTCTGTCAGATATAGGGTTGGTGAAGATCCTTTCCCAATCTGTAGGCTGTCTTTTTGTTCTGATGACAGTGTCATTTGCTTTACAGAAGGTTTTCAGTTTCATGAGGTCCCATTTATTGATTGTTGATCTTAGAGCCTGTGCTGTTGGTGTTCTTCAATTGTACCTTCTATGCCTGAGGTTCTTTCCTCCATCTTTTGTATTCTATTGTTGATGCTTACCTCTATGGTTCCAGTGACTCTCTAAGTTTTCAATCTCCAGGATATTCTTGGTTTGTGTTTTCTTTATTGATTATATTTCCATTTTCATGTCTTGAACAGATTTATTCATTTCCTTCACCTGCTGTATTTTACTTCATGTCTTTTTAATGGTCTCTATTTCTTTGATTTTATTTTCCTATATTTCTTTGAGGGATTTATTCGATTCCTCTTTAAATGCCTCTAACAATTTTCTAAGCATAGATTTAAGGTCATTTTCCTGTGTTTCAGCTGTATTAGACTATCTAGTGTTTGGGGAAAGGGGTTTCTAATTTAGCCATGTTGCCCTGTTTTCTGTTGATTGTGGTCTTACACTGGCTTTTAACCATCTGGTTTTATATGACATTGGCTGTTTGTTCCTGGAAACTGCTGGGTTTCTTGGGCCTTTGTGATCCAGTGAGGTTCTGCTATTCTCCTTATGACAGTGAGTAGAGTAGAAATGAATGCTGGAACCACACATCTCTGGAGTCCAGAGTCATCTTCAGGATGGTGGAAGAAGTCCAGAGGAACATGAACGGGTGCTGGTGCTTTGAAGTCAGCCACACTGCAGGTTGCTGGCCAAGCAGACACTGTACTCCTGGTATTCAAATTAGGCTGGGCTCCAACATCTTGGAACCAGGATCCTGTATGTGCCTTTTGTCCAGCTGGTCTCTATAAATGGACCAATTGAATTGTGGGTGGATTAAAGTTGGGATGCTGTCCCAGGAACCCAGGCACTACCCTCAGGGAAGAGGGAGGAATCCAAGGTCTAGTTGTTGGAGCAGAGCATTTCTGGAACTTGGTACCAGAGCTCACATAGCAGGGGGCTCACCCTCTGAGACTCCTGGACTGGGGAGCTGGTCACAGGAATGGGTGTGGTGGTGTTGGGGGGTGGGGTGGGAAGACCTAGAGCTGTGCACCCCCAGCTTCTGGGATGTCCCCTCCTGTCTGGGAAATACCAGGCTACTCACTGGATTCAAAGTCTCTGATCTGCTACTCAGATAAGGTACACACTGGCTGCCATCATCTTGGAAGCCAATTCCTAGTTTTGTAGTCTAATCATGTAAAGCTGAAATTTCTTTTTAGCAAAATCTTAATTGTATTATAGCCCAATGCATATACTGTCATGTTTTAAATACTTTCTAATTTCTCTTAAAACTCTTTGACCCACAAATAGTAAGAAATATGCTCAATTTTGAAATATTTTCCATTTTCCTAAATATCATCTGGTTGTTGATTATAAGTGAACTTTGTTGTATATTGAGAACATTATGTAGAATTACTTCACTAATGTTTTCACAATGTGGTGATGGAATTCATGGTCCTTGTCTGGGCCTGCATGTCCCAGTGCACATAGCCTTGTGAACTCCACCTCCGCCACTCCTGAAGTCAGTATTCACATAGCCTGGTGGCCAGGTTTAGGTGTAAAATTTCCTATTGACTTGTAAGAACATGTCCAACTAGCACCTGGAATTCCTCGTCATGCAAATGAAGCCCCAGCCAATAATGTACACTCACCCTGAAAACCCCTACTCACTTTCCCAAGGCTTATATAGCCCTTATTCCCTCCCAATAAAGGAGAGCTGTTTCACTGAAAACTGTCTCAAAGAAGGCTATTTCTTCTGAACTCACCAGTGTTCGAGATCCTGCTAACCCACCCACCCAGCTAAGCTTCATTACTTCCAGTCCAGCCTGGGGCACAATGGTGCCTGCAGACCTGGGCTAGAAAAGTACTTTTACTCTTCTCTCAGGAAAGGTGAAACACATTGTCACATTTAACTGTTGACCCTACTTCAGATTAATTATTCACTTATATGTTCATTTAATATATATGTTTAAAACCCCACAAGGTCATTACTATTATTTTATGGAGTCATTTATAGTAATCACACATTATATTTTTCCTCTTCATTCTTGCCTTTATCTCTGATCACAGTGTTTCATTCCCTACTGATTTATGAATAACTTACTATTTGCTTTAGTTATTTTCTGTTTTAGGACAAACTGTATGATCTTGACAAAATGTCTAGAATTGTTAGCATTCTTAAAGTGTAGTAGAATTCTAAGTGGCAGAGTGATGAAGTAGTAATAACAGTCTGATTTGGACTACAGTAGTGATGGGATTCTAACATTGCCTACTTTCTGTTATATTTAGATCTGCTACAGCTTTGGAGAATAACTGTCTTTTTTTGGCTATTTCAATACTATCATTGCATTGTGTTTTGTTTTTTCTTGTTTGTTTATTTTTTGCTTTTCCCCTGGAGGTTATGGCATGAATTTCTTTTTATATGCTCTGACTTTATTTATTTTTATTCTTTGACTCATTTAATTGATAGTTTCAACATTTAAAACATGAATCTTGCTTCTGTTCAGATGGCAAGGTAGTTAAGAACGTTGCTTTTGCAGAGGACTGGAGTTTGGTCTACAATACTAATATCAACATAACAGATGGCTTATAATAGCTTATAACTCCAACTCCAGGGACTCCAATACCCTGTTCTGGCTTCTACAGGCACCTGCACATCCCCTCTACACACATACATACAAATAAGTTAAAATTAAAATCTTAATACATGAATATTTAGTTCATGAATTTTATTATATACAAATGCTGTCAGCTTTATAAATGACTAGGTACCAAAATTCTAGCAAATCTTATTTCCATTCATAAATTTCTGTTAGTCTGAAATTTCCTTTTACAATACTCTTTTACAATTACTGTTTTAGGTATATATGACAAAGTATGAATATTTTTTATGATATAAAATAATCACTTTATTTAGGACAATTTGATATAATTGAATGCTACCCTGACACAAGTGAAATATTTGTATTTCTTTAAGCTAATGTTTATTGTATGACTAAGTTGTGTTTATTTTATTTTCTAAAATATAAGTATTTCAAATATAACACTAGTTCTGAGGCATAAAGAGATAAATTTCAGAGAAAGTCCTTAGTTTAAATATGAAAATGGCTACCAGTTTGTGGATTGCAAACTCTTCCTTCTAACAATGAGAGTCCTCAAAGACTGACATCTTTTCATTTTTGTTGTTCTTCACAAGGGAGACTATGACTTCTGACTGTGTGTTTAAAAATTCTCTAGGAGCACTTCAAGTTCATGTGTCATCATGCTCTGTGGGGGCACATGTTCTTGTTGACCACCATCTTGGTAAACCATTGTTATTCTGATAAACTTTCACTGGAATCTGAATTTTTTTCTGATAAATACAATCTTCTTCTGTACCCTAACTATGGTCTTATAAGTGGTTACTTCTATATGGTCTTAGTTTCTGTATGAAATGTTTTGGAGTCTATGTCCTCAGACTTATTACCTATGTGGTTTTCTGAAATTATTCTCCTCAAGGCATCTTCTGTTGCTGTCTTGTGTTTCTGGAAATGATCATCAAAGATCTAGTTGTCTTTTAGGTACTTTTGACAACTTATTTATACTGAAGCAGAACTATATTTATATTTATCCTGACAAGATACTAGCAACACCCACAATAAAATTTTTAATATTATTACAAATATCTGCGCTGAAAACATGTTACTTTCTCTTAGAATTTCTTCAGATTCTATATGACAAAACAAAAGATAATTACTGTTATCCAGATTTTAGACAGTGCAACCACTACAGTCTGTAAAACTGAACTTTTGAAAGTTTGCTACTGTGTTTTCATGATCTTAATGAAAACTTCTGCTGTCATCACTGTAAATGTCTACTGTTATCATGCTGATAGGTTTTCAAAGTTGCTAATTGGAGGGGCTCCTTTTTCATGGAAAAGGAAACTAAGGAATCTTATACGGTAAGGATGCTCCCTGTGTGAGAAGATGTTTTCTCCAGCTGAAGCATTTTATTTATAAAATGAAGCTGAAGCTGTTATTTATACATTTTAGTACTATCTAAACTAATAAAACTGTTTTGTTTGTTTTAAATGCTAAAAAGGGATGCACTTTGTAAATATTATCTATTTTTTTCCTGGGGAAGAAAATACCAAACACATAGACAATGATACAAACAAACTATATTCTATAATACAAACTATTAAGACAATCTTACTGTACTTGTCGCCTCCTCATCAAATTTATGTAAGCGGCTTAATGAGTCTTTTTTATGTTCCTGAGCTGGTAAAGCAGTAACTTTCAGTGGGCTTGTCCAACCTAAAACCCAAAAAAAAATGTATGCATTTTATGTCAAAAACACAGTATTGCTTTTTCTTCCATTAGAAACATCTAGTTGATGTGCATTAAACTGTAACAAGGTTTCTGGTAATTGTAAGTTAAGTTTGATGCTTCCTGAATTGTATGAAATACATGCTAAGATTACAAATTTAAAACTTGGGTCATAATTGGCCATAATACTAGACTTTTATTTACATTAAATGAAACAAGAAGTATGTATCTTGACCAACCCCAAAACTTTAAATTATGATAGAGCACACACCTAGAATCTTAACACATTACTTGGAATTTGTACCAGTAGTAAAACCAAGGTCCACTTTGGACTGCAGATACTGTAGCCACAGTAGAGGGTATAAACCCCAGCTTATGTACACCTAGAGTACAAGCCAAGCAGAATACTGTGGGATTCCCAAGACTGTTTCTCCAGCCATATTATACTTATTAAGCCAGAAGTGAATAATTGTGATTAATTTACCCCATTGATAGGATGTGTGGATCCCTAGGTGCAAGGCTCCGCTTAAAAAAATACCTGAAAAACAAAATTCTATTTTCCTTTTTAAAGCTTATTTTGGCAATGATGGAGCCATTTCTAACCTTTCTCTGGGGACAAGTCCATTGAAGTGTACTGAAGACAAACCATCTTAGCACATGGTAAAGTGGGCCCATGCCCCAATTTGGCTCAAATTTCTGTAGAATCTATTTTGAAGTTCAAATATGAATTGTTATGTTTTTTTAAACGGACAAGTTGGTCCCAAAAGAGCAAAATAGAGAAAGTGGGAAATGTATTTTATGGTCCCAACTCATAGAAGCAGCATCTATAAGTAGCTGATAGAGGAGCTTGGAGGTTTCTTTCAGAGTTACAGAAGAGTGCCTTCATAAAGGACATTACTAGCCCAGTTCCAGGATGGGGTAAGGATTAGGTGTTCTGCTCTCTTTTTTTGTAGTCACAGAGTCAGGAGGACAGACTGACCAATCCAGGACAAACATGTGAAATGCCAATTCCCATCTAAAGGCAGGATCTCAGCTTAAATAGAATCGGATAATTTGTTAACATAGTATGTTCTGCTTTTGATGGCAGCATGTGTGTGTGTGTGTGTGTATGTGTGTGTGCATGTGTATGTCTTTTCAGTCAGATTAGCAACTGAGAGAGAGAGTTTAGGGAATAGAGTTTAGAAGTTTGTGCTGGCAAAGTCTGAGGTATAGAATTGGAGGCATAATCAAAGTAGCTGAGAGAAGGTAGAAAAGAGACTTGAAGGTGGGCCTGTAGATAGCTGTTTTATTTACTGAAGTTATCTAAGTCAGTGAGACTTGGAGTCAGAAAAAGTACTTACTAAGTGTGGCCATTGTCTAGTAGATATGGCCAGATCTGAATTCAAAGGTCACATGCAAGACAGTACATCTTGATGAAGTTCTCGGCAGCAAACCATGTTTTGTTTAGTTTAAGGTGAAGAGTCAGACACATGGTAAAATGAGTCCATCCCTCATCTTGGCTGGAAACTTTTTCAAGATGGAAGCAACCAAGTGTCCTGGCTGTCATCTTTGCTACTGATATCATAAAGGCAAATGTCATGTGACTTCACCACCATCTTGGTTAGACATCACCAAATGAGACAAAACAAAATGGTGGCACCTGTAAAACGTCATTGTACCACTGAATCCACTGCAAATCACTATACCCCTTTTGTATTAGACTAAGGAGAAAACATCAAACTTCTAAAATGCTTGCTTTGTATTTTTTTTCCTGTTCTTTTAATTTTTTATATTAATTACAATTTATTAACTTTGAATCCCATCTGTAGCCCCCTCCCTCATTCCCTCCTAATCCCACCCTCCCTCCCTCAGGTCCTCCCATGCCCCTCTCCAAGTCCACTGATAGGGGAAGTCCTCCTCCTCAGTCATCTGACCCTAGCCTATCAGGTCTCATGAGGACTGGCTACACTGTCCTCCTCTGTAGCCTGGCAAGGCTACTCCCCCATCAGGGAGAGGTGATCAAAGAGCCAGCCACTGAATTCATGCCAGAGACAATACCTTTTCCCCTTACTAGGGAACTCACTTGGATACTGAGTTCCCAAGGGCTACATTTGTGCAGGGGTTCTAGGTTATCTCCATGCCTGGTCCTTGGTTGGAGTATCAGTCTCAGAAAATATACATGGGCCCATATTTCTTGGTTCTGTTGGGTGGAGCTTCTGTCCCCTACAGGTCTTTCTATCTTGCCTTCTTTCATAATATTCCCTGCACTCTGCCCAAAGTTTAGCTATGAGTCTCAGCATTGGCTTTGATACCCTGCTGGGTAGAGTATTTCAGAGGTCCTCTGTGGTAGGCTCCTGTCCTGTTCCCTGTTTTTTAATTTTAATGTTTTGGTTTGTTTTAATTTTACATGATACAGGTATTAGCTTCTAAAGAGAGTCTAGAATTTCCTGGCCACCTGCCTCCAAACACTGGCATAGTAACACACGGAAGTGCACTCGGCTCAACAGGTCCCAGAGACTCAAAGGACAAGTGGCTAAGTGCTGGACAAGCTGCTGTCAGTGAGGTGCTGCTATGGTAGGCTCTGCCAGGTCTCACTGTCTGGTATTTCTGTCTGGTGTCTCCAGCCCCATTTCCCTCTAACTGAGATAAGACATTTCCCTCACCCCAATACTTCACTGACATGTGTCTGCTTTTGTTTCTGCCAGAACTAACATTGTTTTTAAGTTTTGTTTTCACAATGAAAATGATAAAACCATAATCCCAACAAACAATAATGTTTAAAACCTTGGTTTATTAAAGCATATTTTATGTATGATTATGTATTCATGCACTGTCTGTCCACAAGTGATTATGATTTTTTAATATCATGAAATCTTTTTAGCAAGAAATTGATTTGTAAACTCAAGTTGTTAACTTGGTTTAACTTCATTTTGTTCATAGTAAAACTAAAATTAATCATAATAATGGCTAACAGTCCTGAATCCTTCTTTGGAACAATTAACATCAGTTTTTTAAGTTTAAAAATATTTAAATCTATTTTTAAGACAAGGACACATGGACAAGACAGACAAAATCATATAATTGTAATAAAAATGTTATCTCCTTGATCCTTATCCTAATTCTGGTTTTGCAATATGTTCTCCATTTCTTGGGTATATGAATTAACTTTAAGAGATAATTGTTCCTACCCCAGGATACATTTATCTTTTTGGAAAATTGCCCTTCCTTTAGATAAAAATTAGTTAGTATTTATGCTTTTACATGTGTTTTATATATAAGTGAATGCACATATAATTACAAACATCCTGAGGATTTTAAGGCTATGGGACCTTAAAATGTCCTCATACAAACTAAGAAAAGACTTTTCAATGTGATTATTTCTGGATCTCCTGCACTCCTATTGGTAGCCCCTCATCAACTGATTCTCTGTAAGTACATAGACTGTCTCCTTCACACAGCACAATCCAAAGAAAGATATGATATCACGAAATGGCTGTCTTCTGTTCGGGATCTTTGTCATCCGTTTGGTTTTATCATGGTCCCTTAGACAGAACCACCTCAGAGACACTCTAGCTGCTCCCCTTTCTACACCACCTCTTTTGTCAGCTTGAAGAATTAGGAGAGATCTGTATCCCAAACCTCTAAAACAGTTTGGGTGACCTCTGAAATGGGAACTAGTAGGCCCATCTGACTCTTTTTTTTTTTTTTTAAGTCAGTTAACCTCTATGTCTCAATAGCTGTCAGAAACCTTAAAGAAAATTCAGATTGGCTGAATAACTTTCAGAACCTACTTTATTCTTTGGATGCTGCAATTATCCAAAGACTAGATCTCCTGAGAACTGCTAAAGATGGATTTTGCACCCTATTCCAGAAACAGTGTTCCTTTTGCATCAACAAATCCAAACTGGTTTGAGATGGGCCCAAAGAGTCTGGGACCATACCAAAATAATTCAATGACAAGACTCCTCCTGTGGATGGAATTTGGTTCCCTTCTACTCTGGCTCCTCCCCTTGATCACTCCTTTACTTCTTATTATCCTTATTCTTGAATTTATACCCCAAATTTTACATGTTTTTCTTAACAGACCCACCTCCCTTAAGGTAACCAGACTTCACCCTTTATGTGAGCAGGAATATCCCATATAAGCTCCCTTAGCATCTCTCACCCTGCAACAGTTTCCTTAACTCTTGATAAAACAGCAAGAAGATTTTTTTGGATACTGCCGAGGAGCCCTGGTTGCAAGGAGCCTCCATCCCTTTCACCCAAGATGAGATACAATTCTTTGCAGTAGTCTTCCATTTTATCTTGCTCTCCGTTTTTGTTGCTCTGTAGGCCCTTGCTGCTTTTGATAGCTTACTTTGGTCCAGTCTTGTTAGCAGAACCAGCCACGGGCACCCTGAGCAGTCCACTGGACCTTGTATTACAACCATTGGCTTCATATATTGCTTCCCTTACTTCACCCATGTGAAGGTGCCCAATGAAATACTTTTCACTAGCCTAAACCTCTTAATCCATACCCATCTTGATCTTTCTATGGCACTTTTGTAAATCTCCACCTAACATTCTGTATGCTGAAATAGAATTTCTGTAACTTTCCCATTTAGTTTTGGTCTGTTTATAGATAGAAATGAAAGAAATTATATAAACAATATATTAGCTAGGTTGTCCAACTCATGGCGTGAAAGAATGAAGACAGTAATATACTCATTTCAAAAACCCAACCAAACAAAATCCCAAAGAGCTACAATATATGGTATTAGGCATTTTAAATGAATTATCTAATTACTTTCCTGGATCTTTGAGAAATGTGGGTAAGAATGGCCTCTGCCATATAAATTGCTATGAAGACACATAGCAATTTCTGGGATTTATGTGCTTAGCAAATTACAACATGGAAGAGAATTATTTGGATATTTATTTAATTTGCAATTGAAAGAGGGCTCTTGAATACTAGGAATCTGTGTATGTGTGTATATAGTATGTGTACATACCAGGAATGGTAGTGGCAAAAAAATTCTGGATACTATATAGACAAGCTATCTAATGATAGATTAGAAATCTAATGACACTAGCCATATAATTTATTTAACAAAAAATAGTCTTCAAAGTATTTGTTGCCCTGTAAGTATGCTGACAGTCATATCAAGATGAAAGGCAGAGTGTGCTTCTAAGGTACTGATGAACATGAAGAAAATTCATACACTGAAGTACTGAAACCACTATGTGGCAATTGCAACAATAATGGAGCCCAGAGTTCTATGAGGCTTCAGAAGAGAGCTATCTAGTCCAACCAGATTGTCAGGAGTTAGGAACATCTTCCTGAAGATGACAACTGATCTAATCTTGAAAATTAAATAGGGCTTATTTTTTTTTAAAAAGGGGAAGTGGATAAAAAGCAGTTGTTACAGGCAGGGAAATAGCATGTACAGTAGTAGCATGGTCTATGAAATTATAATGCTCTTAAGAAACTACAGAATGTTAGTTATAGCTATGGTACAACTTATCAGGAGGGGAATGGTGGAAGAATAGGGAAAGAAAGGGTCAGCACAGCAAAGCCTTGAACTTAAACTATAGATGGAGTTCTTCAGAGTATTTTAACTAGAGAGTTTTAAAACTTTCAGAACCACTGTGATTTACTCAGGTGACTAGCAGAAGTGAAGCTGCTGTAGCAAGTCTGGTAGTTTCCATAGATAATCCTTCTGTGATCTCCTAGGAAAGAACAGTCTTTTTTGTCCTCTAGTCATAGTTTTGCTCCATGAATTAATCCGTTGTACAAACTTTGGATTCAGAAGTTTAAATTTGGGAGCTAAGTGGACAGAGATGTTGGCTGAGGAAAGATATTTATTGGGGATGTAATTTTAGTTTTGTTAAAATCTGACATACTTGCCATTTACGATTAATAAACACCTCTAAGATCATCAAAGTTATTGAAGCACTTCAAATATTATGTGGAACTCGGTCCCCAAATCTCAGGTATTACTCTTAGAAACTGTTAGTAGATTAAGAGCATCCAGTGCTTTTAACCAATGAACCATCTCTCTAGCCCAACTTTATTTCTTTTAATGACGCATTCTTGGTAATAAACTATTATGCATTGGATTATTAATAAAGAATGAGTGCAGCTCCTTTTTTTGATTTCTAATAATTAGCATAGTGTTTATTGTTTGTTGAGAAAGTACATTTGATTCTCTGAAACATATTTCCCTAGATAGAATTTTCAGATAACTAACTCTTAAAATACACCGACCTCATAAACAATCTATATAGGAAGTCTATAACTCAGGAACTCCCCCCATGCCCACCTTGAGTGATATATGAAAAACGTAATTCTTTCCTCAGCTTACACCTCTCCAGTTTCTCCTTTCCAGCTTAAAAGCAGCTGGAGGGTGAGGCTGAAGTAATGTTAAGTGCTCTTTTCCCTTTGATTTCTTTCCTTCTTTGTACTTTACTCTTGGTCCCTAAAAACTTTGGTCTTTCTCTGGGAGGAATGTCAGAACATATGCATCTCTACAGTGCAGACATGTGGTGGCCCTGCTCTTCATTCACATATTGTCTTCCTTCATCCCCTAAAGTTTTGGATGAAAGCTGAAGATGAACTGTGGAAGCATCCTACGATTTCTGAGACCACAGCAAGCAAGGCAACCCAGCCAAAGGTTTGACCTTTTTCCTTTTCCCATAGTCAGAGATGCTAATCTTTTATCACTCCCTCCTGCCTACCATGCACACTTCCCTACACAGGAAGTAGTTGTTGTGGTTTTCCTTTGGAGATATTTCTCACTATATCTGTGCCCAGAGAATCATAGTACAGATGACAGTAGTGCCATTAATTCAGCTTTCAGAAGCATAACACTATTTATGGAGGGTTTGCTTCTTTTCAGTTCCTGTTCTTACCCAATTTACTTTCATCTTTCTTATTTAATTTCAGTCCATATAACCTTTTAATCAGCAGATTGTTTACATGGGAGAAAAATAAAAAAGGAATCTCTTTGTGATACGTAAATTGAAGTGCTCTAAGTGATACACAAACCCTCTTTTGGCAAAATAAGGTTATCTGTATAACTACAATAAATTATCTGTTAATATATTTGCTGTTGATAAATTAAACTTAAAAATTATATTTAATTTTTAAACAAAAGTTTGCTTTACAAGCAGATTTATACAGTCTTACTTTTAATAAGACCTTCTTAATATCTAACTTAATTTGTCCAGTTATAGTTAGCATCAATTTAACTGCTAAAATCTCAGGTTCATGATCCTTTTTTTTTTTTTTTTTTAACTTGGAAAACACATAAAGGCTATGTTACTTTACTTACCTCCAAGTTTTGCCCTGATGGAAATGTCTGATACTTCCCTGGAATTCCATTTCCTGTCCTGTTGTAGCTGTTGTGATAGTATAGTCTGCCTTTTTACTGTTGTTTGAAATCCTTTGTCTGGCATAGGAACTCGATTTTGAGGTTTCACATCACCGAAACTCGCCAGGTTTGGTATAGCTCTGCCAATGCCAGGCTTTAAATCAGCATCTCCACCAGGACTCATAAATCCTGAGCAGGGGTCACCCAAGTTCACATCATCACGAAGTGGAAACAGCGGATACTCCTGACCATATGGTGGGGGATACGGGTAGTGATTATGAAAGTTTGGCAGGTCTGAAGGGGGATAAGGATGAAATTTTGCAAATGTAGGGTTGCATTTCTTTTCAAATCTTCCACAGTTATGTCTGTCTTCACATCCTTTCACAAAGGGCATATTCATTTTCCGTAGGAGTTCACAGTAGTGTGGGTAATCTGGATGTTCAACAGCCTTTGACCCTGAGAAGATGAACTTTTTCGGGATACTCATCTTTCCAGGTATGTTCTTAGCCTCCATATCCATGGACTGTCTCATCGCTTTTGAGGATTGTGAATTAAATTCCTTTGACAATCCTTTACTAGTTTTTAACTATTAAAAACCCATCAATTCTTCCAGCAATGGAAGAATAGGATTAATCTAGCATAAAGTTATTAAATCAGTTTTCTAAATGTTAGTAATTTTTTTTTTTTTCTGCTGAAAGGGAGATAGGCCAGTACAGAAATAGGATAGAATGAATAAAAAACAAAAGAAAGAGTCTTTGTTGCTTGGCAACAGGTAGAACCTTAACTCATGGAACTACTTATTATTACATCATAATGCATTTTTTCAGGAAAACAAAATAGGTGCCAGTAATATTTCCATTACACTTTTTTTTTTCTGCCAATACTCCGGAAAACAATATTCACACATGTGTATCTGTAAAATTTTTCATGTTTATATTTTGTGGGTAAGAAAGTAACTTAAAGAATATGCTGCAGTTGATCTAGTGAACACACATACAGCCTCTCTCTTACACACACAATAAGTTTTTTCTGATTGGGATAAATTATAAAAAATGGTATATGTTTAATTTAAACACACTATAACATTATACTGATTTTTAAGGAAAGTAATTCAGAAATTACAGCCAAAGTGAAGGTGCATTCTTATATGCCTTAAATTATCATCAGTTTCCTTAAGGCTACCACAATGTCCAGAATGAAAGCAATGAGAGTATTTATGTTATTTTAGTAAATGGCAGCATAAAAAGCAAGGGCTGTTTTACATGAAAAGTATAGAAGTCCACTTATGAGCTGTTTTTAACTAGAAAATGTGGCTTTGCATGAAAACTGCAACTAACTTGAATTATTACAATTTGGGGGTAATAGCTCACACCTTCCTTAAATTAAGTGGGGGGGGGAATGGCAAGGTTCTATCTGAGTCAGGCATAGAATGTATAAATCACATCAACTGTATGATAGTAAGTATAAGCAAACTATGATGATTGAAATTTTGAGATATAGTACTAAACAAGAGGCAAAGTTGCAATAAATGTCGACGTTTCTCAGCATGAGGTCCTGGACACAGTACATAAAAGACATGAAAGGAAGTTTTTAGTCCATTCAGTATTATTTTTTCATATTAAAGGGAAAAATTTAATTCTTCTTGCTGCTCAAAATTCATTGTTCACTATATTTGTATAAAATTTATTTATATCATAGCTGAACTACCATTAAATCTTTCCAATGGCAGAAAAGTGGATGTATGATTCTCTTTCATTTTAAAATATGTTCTCATGTTAAATGGCTTCCTAGCTGGTTTTGCATGTTTTCCTGAATCCAGGTTATGAAAAGTGATCTTCCAGGTTGAATACTGCATGAAAGTAAATTTCATCTATCTCATTTCTTCCGTTTTCCCACCATGCCACTTTCTTAGGAAACACCTTTAATCCTTCCTGGGTGTTCACTACATCTAACTTCCATGGAGTTCCACACACTGATAATATACAGCCGTCGGCATTACTATATTCAGGAGCTTTATGAGAGCTGTGCATGCATTAAGTCAATAGTTCTCACTATCTGCTGCCATGAGTTGGCACCTAAAGGCTAAAACACTGCCAAGGTAGTAAGAAGGGCTTTTCCTTCGACCACCGACACCACGGAAAGGCAAAGGTTAGAACTTTGGGGCACAAGATTCTTCTCCTAGCTTTGGAATCTCTGACAAGACAGGTTCTGGAGGGTTTCCTTAGGGTGCGGTGGCCTCGAAGGCATGGGGATCGACCTCTTGCCTTCCATGGGTACCCAAGCCAGCTCCCAAGCCAGCACACCTCCCACAGACCACCCGAGCGGAAGTGGCGGCGAGTCCGTCGGTCCGTCCTTCCGGCCTGCCGTCCGCCCATTTCCGGCGGCGGGTGGGCGCGTGTCAGGTAACGACCTTCTGCGCCGAGGCTCGGCCGGCGGCGGCGTGTGGATGAAGGCCTTGGCCCTGGGCCGGGCTTCGCGGGGACGGCGGCGGGCCGGGGCCGCGGGCTCCGCGCTCTCGGCGCTGTCGGTGGCCGCCGTCCTGCTCTCCGCCTTGCTGCGGGCGCCCCCTGCAGGTGAGGCTCGGCGCCGCACGGCGGGAGCTCAGGCTGCCGCGGCTCCTCACGAGAATTGCGTTGGCTCCGTGTCACGTGACCCCGTTTACACAAAGAAAGCCTCCAGCCAGCACGGGAGTCTGGTTTTGTGTAGGACTCTTGAAAGGAACTTCATTTGCATAGAGAAGATCCCTGTGGGATCGTGAAGGAGATCCAGCTCCAGGAGATTATCCAAACGTGAAGCTTTAAATTGAAAGTGTCTTAATAAACTTAAGTCCGCGGGCCATTGCCAGCTTGTGTTTCAGAGCGATTGTATATAGTGATGAATTGTACTGAATCTGAGCTTTTAAACCATCCTTGATTGTGGAGCGTCCTCTCTTGGTTCCCGATGTAAAATGCAGGAAGTAGCTGGGGTTGTAAGATTTAAATGGAGGCACTTTACACAGTTTCAAAAACATAATTATGTTGGACAAAGAAATGAGCGTTTACTAGATTTGCTTTTTAACTAGAAGGTTTTGGTTGCAGTTTGTGTTTGTGTGTGTGTTGAAGTTGTGGACTTACTAACAATCGGCTAATGTCCCATAGATGCTAAATAAATGTACTAAAGAGACACTTGTCTGGGTTAAATTTTTTTACGAAAAGATAAAGTAACCAAGGATACGAATAGAAGAAATGTGAAGAAAAGGATACGGTGGAGAAAGGAAAGAAATGGGGAGTGCTTGCTAGTTTTTACTAACTTGACACAAACTATACTCACCTGGGAACAGGAAACCTCAATTGAAGATTTGACCCTATCAGATTGACCTGCGAGTACGTCTGTAGGGTTGTTTTCTTAATTGCTTTTATCCGCCGGGGGTGGTGTCATTCCTGGGCAGGTGGTCCAGGGCTGAGTAAGAAACCAGGCTGAGCAAGCTAGGGAAAGGAAGCCAGCAAGCAGCGTTCCTCCACGCTTCTGCCTCAGTACCTGCCTCCCAATGTGGGCTAGAGTCCTTGCCTTGGTTTTCCGAAACAAACCCCCAAATTGACTTGGGGCGTGGTGCTTATTACATCAATAGAAAGCAAACTAGTACAGGCAGAAGGGGGAGGGTATGGTGATTACTTCTTTTATAATACAAAGTCCAGGTGTTGGGTGCAAAGAGTTTTGTGAGAATAAATTTTATTTAATTATTCTGTGTGAGAAAGGTGCATTTGAGTATGGCACTTGGCCTTGTACCTGGTAATGAAAATTTGTGTTTTTGTTTTAAAATATTGCCTGGCTTTCCTTTCCTTCAATAAGGACTGTCAAAAGCAGGACAAGCAATTAATACCTTAACATGTAAACTGTGAATAGTAAAGGCTGAGTTTTATATAGCACCTTATATCTCCGACGATAGCTTTATAAGGCTGAAGTTACTGGCAGTCTGATTTTGCAGATGAAAATCCTCAAAGTTGTAGTTTAAAGTGACTTTCCTGCTATCAGTATGTAGCAGAATTTGCACTTAAACTCCACTCCAGCCTAAAATGGCATGATCTGTCCTCTGCCACTTGCTGTTAAGGCTATTTTGGGAGTCAAGGCTTTATAGGCCTTGCATTGCCTTTCCCATTTGTTCTGTTCACAGCCTAGCACGATCATATATGCTCATTTAACAATACGAAGACTATGAAGCTGTTTTCCAGAATTATTGTCTTAATAATTTTCATGTCAAAAGCTGTACTACTTGCAAACGATTCTTGATAAGTTGACTGAAATACTGTGCTTCCATCAATAGAGTTTGTACCAAGGAAAGTGATGTGCGCATGAATAACTATCCCATTGCAGATTGAGTGTTTCACGACCGCTGAGTAGTGAGGACAGGAGGGAAGATTGAGGGTGTATAGGTTTGTGATTTGGGGCCTGTAAGATCGGAGGATATTGTTAAGTATAGGCACAGAAAAGCTATTAAGATTTATAAAAGGGGTACGCCATGGATACATTAAATTCCTTAAGGGGCATGCAGAGCAGTAGATAAGCTGTCATAGTAGACTAATTCATGCTTCTTGAAATGGTGTCAAGGTAAATTATTCTCTTGTTGTAATTTTTCGGGATTTTTACGAGACAAACTTTGATCATTTTTCTTCTTCTTGTTTTTCATAGTTGGAGATTTGGCTCGATTGCCAAGAGGCTTTCGCTTGTCTCAAGATGCACTGAAAATAGTGGGATCATCACATTTTCCTGGTACTCATGAATAGCTTTTCAGTAATTGGAAATTACTAGCATCTGTTTATAGTTTAGTAGCCCTGCCGAAAAGGGTCACATTCTCTAGTTACTCTCCTTCTGTAGAGCTGAAGTAAAATGGTTTCTGTACATCTGGAGTCATCCAAGTCTAGTTCTATGTGCAAAGGAAAGTTATTTCTAAAAGTTAACTGAGGTTTCAGACAGTGTTTTTACTTGTTAACAGATACATTACTCACAATAAGATTAAATGTGGGAAGCTTAAATATGCTAAAAATTTCCATTTGAGATCTAAACACTACAAACATTTGGATACATGTTTTCAGAGCATTCACAGCAGCTGCAACATTTTAAAATTTTTAATGAGTTAATTCACTTGCCATGAAACACCTCCCTTAATGTTTTTTTAGTTTATTGACAAGGTAGACAGTCATCAGAACTTTCTAGTTCTACATCATCATTATATTGTAAAGAAGTACGTATGCTCATAAAGGAAGTATTCCTGGCCCTGAACGCTGCTAATACTTTCAGATTGGTATTTGCTGTTCTTGGCTTAGTTAAAACCACACATCATATGGCCTTTGTGTTCATTTTGTAGAACATTTTTTTTGGTTGAGGTTGTGTAAATATACCATTTCTTTTTATAGCTGAATAATATTCTTTTGTGTGTGGATGTATTTTTTTTTTACTTCCTTTAAGTATATCTTAGAATAATTTATAGCTAAAGTTTCAATGATCTGTTTAACATATTGAAGAACTGCTATACCATTTTTCCAGAGAGCCTGAACG